GGTTAGTAGAGTGGTGGAAACACGCGGCTGGGCATGTGTTTTTGGGGGGGAAAAGTTGAGGAAAAGTCGTGGCTAGAGTGAAGGAAAAGTTTCTGGTAAAGACTGGAGGAAAAGTAGAAGCACAACCGGAGGAATTTCAAATGAAAATTTGTTATTTTTAGGTGGCAACTATGTAAAAAGTACAGCTGTACTTCCCGCTTTGATTAGCCCTGGACGGATTTTCTTCATAGAATTCGATTAGTTGTCCAAAACGTAGGACCTTCGAGGGTTTATTGGTCTTACAAAGCAACTAAAATATAGATATTCTTACACGTGTAGCGCGCCCATCTGTCGATTTTCTTCGATATACAATTCGATATTAAAATAAGTTAAATATATTAAATAATTACGAAGAATTTTGAATTTAAAAAATGAAAATATTTTGTGTAAAGAGTTTCTTGACAGTGTCAAAAATGAGTAATCATTGTTTTTGTTGTTTTGTAAGCTAACTATTTATAGTTTTGTTATTCTTTTTACACTAACTACTTTGTAATTAATCCCTGAATGGTTATGAATTAAAAAAATTTGATAAATTTGAATCAAAGGCCAAAAAATTTAATTCAATTTCAGTGTGTAAAGAGTTTCTTGACATACTGTATGTATCTACTCTTCCAACAAACTCGCAATCTTTGCCTCGGACCTCTCCCTAGAAACGTTTAAAGTTGAAGTCTCTTGTGCATCTTGGGGGCTAATTTTGTTTCTATTTGCATTCTCCTGCTTTTCTTATTTTGGAATTCATTTTGTTTCTCTTCTTCTTTGTTTTTGTGTATGTTTTTTTCTCTGAAGCTTTTTCAACTTCAACTTCTTTGTTATTTTTTTTTCGTGTCAATGACTTTTTTGCGGTTCCCCCGCGAAATGGAAGTTTCTTTTTCTTTTCGGTCTTTCACTCTTTTGCCTCCACTTGTGGGGCGGGTGGCCGTCGCCGTCGCCGTGGCTGTCGCTCTCTTTTTCTTGCTAAATAATGCTGCAGTGGTCGTACGACGCCGACGCCGCGTCTCAGTTGGCAGACAAATCTGCGTGCACTTCAATTTTTGTTGTTTTTCATACGCTTTTTTTTTTGTTTGAGTATTTATGACATTGGGGAAAGGTTTGTTAGCCATAAGGGGGACTTTGCTTTCTTCCATCTTTCGGGTTTCATTATAAATATTGATGGCTAATATCTTCTTCTTAATGAAGATTCACGCAATTGCGACATGCTCACACGCACATTTTCGTTATTTTGTTGAATTTGTTTTCTTTATTTACGTGTTTTCCAAACAACCAAGCTTTCAAAAGTCTTAAATTTACTATTTGAATAGGTACTTCTTATAGTAGATGGATAGTATCTAAACTTTCGGTGTCCCAGAGCTCATCTTTCTTTCTAGTTTCGTTTTTTTTTTTTCGTTCGATATGTAAGTGAGTTTATTTTTGTATGATTTCTCCAACGTTTTGTTTGTTTGTCGCTTGGCTAGGGCGTGTGGCTACAATCATCTTCTCACTCTTTTACCACATATTCCTCACCCTTTTGCCGCCCATTCTTCTCCTAGTCTTCCTGCTCATTTTCTTCTTTCCTCTGCTTGAGATTCATTTGCATTTCTGTCTGTTTGTTTTTCCAGTGTTGTAAACTAATATTGTTATTGGTAGACCGACCCCGGGACCCGCGACCTAAAAAGGATGCTGCCTCTGGCTACCATTCCTGTTCATTCGTTTTTCTTTCATGTTGATTCTGGTTTGCTTTTTCATGGAAAATCAGTTGATAATTTGTGTACTCTGTTTTTGTTTTGTTTTGTTGATTTTTGGGTCAACTGACGTCTGTTGCTCTTGTCCTTTTATTTGTGTCTTCAGATGGGAGGTGGATGTAGGGAAATGTAGGGAAAATATACACAAAGAGGAAAAGGAAGAAAACTTTCAACAGTATCAATATTATATACCTATTTGTACAGGTAGTACTTATAGTACATAGTAGAGCCCTGCAAGAACTGCCAACCGAATTGATTCGGTGGGATTCGCTACAAATGAGATCATGTTTAGCCATTTTTACTATGTTGGATCATCAAATTTCGGTGTTTTTTTCCCGCTCACTCTCCAAGACCCCAAGAACCCAATTGAATGATCTTACATTGCCACTGAAGCTAAAACTAATTATAAAAAACCAATCGAAACGTGAAGGATACAGTGGGTCTGTGAGGAAATGCTTCGAATGAGCTTTACATTCCCCCTGCTGCTGTTTCTTTGAAGATCTAAGATCTGTTAACGTACAACACCTCTCACAATCCATCCGTCTGCTGGATATTAATGATCGTTTCGTTTCACCGATCTCTGGCTGCTGTTTGTTAATGGTCTTTCTTTCGTGAATCTCTCAAAACAGACAACAACAGCTGACCGCCGATTGCCGCAGCAGGTTTTTCTTTTGGCTTTTGTTTACCCGGTCGTAAATTTTCCAATTTGACTTTAATTGCAGGCCGGCCGATTATTGCGCGGGCTTCTGCTGTTTTTCTTTCGGGTTTTCAGGTTTTTAGACTTTGTTTTCCCCCCCAACGCCCCCCCCCCCCCCATTCTTATGCCATATGTTATGTTTCACAGGGCAGAGATTGCGTAAAAATTGTTCTTTATTTTAAGCAAGTATTTTTAGCATTATTGCCCTTGGAATATTTGACACGATTTTGATTTTTTTCCCCCTCGTTTTTTTTTTGTGTGGTTTGTGGTTCATAAATAATACAAAAGATGTCGGGGGGATTGAGTCCTAAAGGTTGTATTTTCCCATGGAAAACTTTTCTCTCTTTCGCTCACTTCTTCTCCCTCTTGCCCCCATTATTTCTCTATCTCTTTTTGATGTGTGTGTTTGTTTTTTTTTTTTTTTTTTGCTCCAATGTCAGCGAAAGATCAATAAACTTTTGGCAAATAACAAGAAATGGAATCGCCAAGCAAAAAAGACAGAAAAAAAAGACACACAAAGAAGAGAAACGAAAACAAATTAAAGCGCATGAAAAAAAGATTACAGAGTAGAAGAAATAGCAACAAAATCAACAGAAAATGTTGCGGCAGATAAAGAGTGGGAAATAGTAGAGAGGTGCAAAGATAGAGGGTTAAAGAGAGACAGGGTGGTCACGGGAGGGGACTAGAGGGAAAGTAAACCTCAAAGAAAGGCTTTTGACTCCCTTGGAGATCGATTTTTTCCAAGGTGTAGGCCAGCCATGGGATATAGTCAGCCGATTTGGATACCATTAAGGGTTATAGATACTATATCTAGGTCCCAAGTTAGATATTGTATTCTTTTGATACAAGAACCAGCTTTTGGAACGATCTATAGATTCGGTTTGTAAATAATTTCTTTTTAGAAAACTTACTTTTCCATTGATAAAAGTATCTTCAGAAATAGAAAAGTTTTCCTAGACGATGAAGTGCCTTCGAAGGTTAGTTCTTATGGTAGCTATTATATGATATAGTGATCTGATTCCGACTGCAAAAAGAGGGATCTGTGTAAAGTTTTTGATGAAAAATTCATAAAAAGGGTATGAAAGATCTCCGAGAAGAGATTGCACCTTGAATTCCCTTAAAAAGGGTATACAAGAAGGCTGCCTACAAAGTGTGGAAGAGATGGGCATTCAAAGACTGAAAGAGACGTCCAAAGACAGTGCGAGAGAGAGAGATCAACAGACGGATGGAAAGAGATAGAGAGAGAGAGCCAGACAGAGAGGACGGGGTTTGGCCTGGGTGCTGAAGTAAAATGTTGACGATTGTCACCGTCTCGGAGTCGAGTCGATGTCTGGCCATGACAAACATATCGCCGGCTCCTCTACCGCTCTCCCCCCCGCCACCTGCCCTTCTGATTCCATCTCTCACAATCTCTAGCAGAGGTCTGCTCTCCCCACTCCTTCCCATATCTGTCGTTATTTATATAATAACAGACAATACAAAACAGAAAAACAGAAAAGCAGAAACAGAAACCCCCCCGCGCCCCACCATACAATCGTATACAGTAATACATCATAGGGAATGACTGACTGACTGCCGGCTGTCTGTCTTCTCTTTTACCACTCTCTCTCTCTCTCTTTCTCCCTCTCTGGACATCTCTGTGTCTGCTCCCACTTTTCTCTCCCTCGATTCTGTCACTTTTCTCGGTTTCTCCTGTTGTTATTTTTGGCACAGAAATAAACAAAAATCTTTTCGTCATCATCATTAAAGTTTTTTTTTTTTTATTTGGCCCGGCTTTAGGTCTGTGGATGTCTGAGCGACCAGACCCCCAAGAAAATCTGCCAACAAAATATACTTGAAAGTTTCAATCTTAAGGGATTTTTGGCAGAGGATTTATTTGCCAATGATAGGAGATGTATGAGTAGAAAATAATTGGGGAATGAATTGTGAGCAAAATTTTAAAATAAAACTCACTGGAAAGGGATCTGCGATTTTCGAAATTCGGTTTTTTGGGATGGAAACCTTCAATTAAATTTTCTATGGGAACTCAGCTTTTGGTAAGGATTGACCATCGAATGTTGGTTTTTAAAAGGTCTTCTTGGCTTCGAAACCACTTTTGGGAAGTTATTTTATTAAATGTTCCATCGGAACTCAATATTTGACAAATGTCAAATGCTGTCAAGTTTTATGGATAATTGATAAGGATTAAGATGTCGAAGAACATCATTTATCAAAGCCTCAAAACAGCCTCAATGATTTAATCGTAAATATTTTGTTTATGATAAATTCGTGTACATTATAAAAGATTCCTTAATTAAATATAATTTCTTAATATTGTAAGGTATTTGAATAAAAATAATAAATCCAGTTTGAAGAGTTTTTTCTCTTGATTTGTAATTATTTATAATCGATTTTCATTAAATTTTTATAATTTTAAATTTTTTTTAAAAGGCATTGGCCGTGTCCTTTACTAAATGTACAACTTAAATCATTCAGGATCTATAGCTAGCAAGTTTTATAACATTTTTCCTTTCTTTTTTGTATTTTCCAGGTGCGTATCCTTGAAGCGACACTGCTGCCTGCCTCAAGTCCTGGATTATTGAGGCGGCCATTGAGTGATGATGATAGTGATGTAAGTCCCCCAAACATCAGTCGTATACCACAACTATTTTAACTGTCAGAAGCACGAGTATTTTACGAGTATGTGTCAGTCAGTCAGTCAGTCAGTCTGATCTGTCTGTTAGTCAGTATATTAGGTCTGTGCCTGGTAGTAGTTTGTCAGTCAAATCCGAGAGACGACACGCTAATCAAGTTGACCTCTCCCTAGTTTTATATATATATGGCGCGTATATTGTATTGCTCAAATTGGACAGACAACAAATATAATAAATAATCAACCTAAACAAACATACACGTGTCTCCAGAGAGGTTCAGACAACAACAATACTATCTCTGGTTACGTTATAATAGAAACAGTAGGAAGATATCTTGCCTTTGTGTATATTAATAGAAACACACGCTGAGGAAATTAAACTCTAATATTGATTCAGTCTCAATGAGAGTCTAAATTTTGTATAGAGGGGGCTTTTCTTCACAAAACAAATACTCATTCATTCAATGAGGGGAATTCTCTTCGCATGTGATTCAAATATTGAGTCAGAATGTAGAATTAAGTCTTGAATCATGCTATTGAAACGAAACTATTGTTTGGGTTAAGGGGTTTTACGTTAATCTGTTAAATTTATACCAGAAAAATACTGAAAAGACTATAAAACAATGCAAAACACCAAAAAATATAAGAAAAAATAAATTACCATAAAAATACCACTAGATTGCTATAAAAAATCAATTAAATAATGCTAGACCTGTACTAAAACTAATACCAAAAACTGTTTAAAGTTTTTTTTTTACTAATACAGACTAGAAAAACCTCGAAAAATACCGTCGAAGGACCAGAAAATATCCGAAAAAAAACTAGAAAAAAATAATAAAATACCATAGAAATAGTAAAAAAATAAAATAATAAAATACCATACAAATACTAGAAAAATAAAATAATAAAATATCATAAAATACCAAGAATTGGTATAAATAATCACTAAAATACCAAATGCAATAATACTAAAAACTGGAAACTAAATAACGTTTATATTTGTTCAAGATCTGGCATAGAAAAGCCACCCACTTTTTCCTCAGTTTTTCCGCTGTTGCAAAGTCGTTGAACCTAATATGTGAATACCCTTGATAGAGGGTACTTGGCACTTGGTTGCACTGCGGCAAAGCGTAGCGTACATATCTCTCATTCTCTCCCCGTCTCTGTCTCCGTCTCTGTCGCTGGGACATGCTCCTTCCACTCGAGAGCTTTGTCGCCACAATTGCCTTCAATTGAGCTCAATTCCCTGGAGCTTTGCTTTCGTTGATTGCACTTGACTTGATGATCAGCTGATGGCAGCAGAGACACAGCCAGCCCGGTGTATGCCTGCGTACAGTGCATGTCAAACGTGTGTGGACCAGAGATCAATATATGTTAATGCTGACCCACTTTGAGGCCAACAACAACAAAAAAAAAAAAGAGTTAATAGATTTCCGAAACAGGTTCTAATGAGGAAATCAAACACAAAACAAGACGAACGCTGATCTGCTGCCTGACCAAGCCCAAAAAAATAAACCCCAAGAGTCAATAAAATTAATCAAATAATATCAGTTTTCTTATATACCATATGATGCCACCGCTCGGAGTTTAAGTAAGTTAGCGCGAAAAAAAACCACCTTAGATTAATAGAGCTGTTCAAGGTTTTTAGGTGTCTCCGTCTCCGAGTCGTCTCTTGGCCCCGCGGCGTACCCAAAAAAAAAAACAACAATAATAAAAGCCACCAAAAGACAAACACGGTTTTTCAGTTGGGTCAATAGACTTTTAGGTTTTTGGCTTTACGATTTGTGTGTCTTGTGCTTTTGATTATGAAAATTTATGCCTAACGGGAGTTTGTTTCCAAGACAAGCCAAAAGGTCATCTTTTGAGTCTCTTTTTAGATGCAGACCACAGACGAAAAAAAAGACCCCCTACTACCATTTTATTTGTCGTTTGGTCTGTCGTGTCGTGTCGTGTCTTGTTGCTTCAAATGTATGGAAAATTTTCATAAAAAAGTCGAGGAAAAAGTCTTGTATTTAGTGGAAAACTACTGCAGCTCTAAAAATATGAAATTCAAGACATTGAAAATACAAGAACCTTTAGATATAGTACTTTTGATTTAGAAAGCCTTAAATGTATAAATTTCCTAATTCCATTAAACTACTAAAATCAAATATAATCTAGAGGATTGTGCACTTCCTACAGAAGGAGTAGCAGACTATCCATCATTCCCATTCTCCAATTCTTTTGAGAAGTAATTTTCATTCCATCTGTAAACTCTTTCTTTTTGCCTTCGCAGGAAGAAACCTTCTATTCTATGCTAAAAAGATCATTCCACCTGTTTAAAATTATCTTCCAACATAACCAATATATGATCTTTCCATGGAACAATCTTCAACTGCTTCTCCTTAAGTATTTCTCCAGATTTCACTTATTTTTCTGCCTTGAATATTGAGAGATCATTCGAAAAAACATGTCTTACATCTAAAAAACAAATGTTTAATAATATAATTAGGTAAAAAAACAAATACAGACTTGTTTTACAGCCGACAAGACGATTTTTGCCTAACAAGATTCCCTAATCAAAAGCAAACCGAAAAACGTGAGCAAATTAAAAGGCAACAACATGCACAAAACATTGTTTAAACACAAAAACCAGCAGCAAAAAAGATTAACAGCAAATCTTTAAAAAAATATAGCAGATAAACCTGAAATTTTCAATGAATTCTAAGGTTTGGAGAGTAAGAGATAGGAAGGAAAATCCATGTAAGATCTTAAATGTAATCTATAGAATAAATAAGGATGGAGGAAATGGAGTTCTCTGGTAAAATGTTGCAATCAAAATCAAAAGATTTCTATCAAAATTATATTTGCGGATCAGAGATTTCGTCGTAGCTAATCTCTCTCTCTCTCTGGTGCCGTTCGCTTATGAGAGCTTTGTACGCATCAACATCATTCGGATTCAACGATAAACGTGCCCTCAGGGGTCACCTACTACTCATTTATCCTTCTTTAGATAAGTTTATCCGACTAAATAGCCACGGGGAAAATCCCAAATCCCGGACTCCTTTGGGGTTGCCTTTAATTTGTACACGAAAAGTATAACATAATCGAATTCCGAGAAACTCCTGCTTATTGCCTAGAAGATCCTATGAATCCCAATGTCATTTCATTGACTACCAAATTTAGTTGAAACTTTTGCTGACACGAGCTCTTTCTTTGCCTTTGACATGGAAAGTTCTTTCTCCATTCAATGGCAGTCAGAGGGAGGGGTAGGGGAAGGGGGGATGCATTAATCATACGCCTCATTGGTCAGCGTTCAGGGGTGGGGCGGAATAGCCACCTGGGCAATCTCCGTGGCTTGTCCTGTGGCGGGGACGGGACTCCCCGAGGCGACCTGTCAGAGAGAAAGGCCAATCAAGGAAGACACGCGCTCGGAGCCGTGCCCATGTTCGTGTTCCCATCCTTGGACCATCATCAGGCATGTGCCGCCCCCCACCCATCCTCATCAGCGGAGCTCTGCCTCAGCCTTATCCTCTTCTGGAGGCCAATTTGCCGTGGCAATGTTCGATTGGGGCCCCTACTCTATGCCCCGAAGCTCCTTATCTCTAAAGCCTCTATCCTTCCATCTGTCTTTGGGCTTTTTTTTCTGTTTCTGTTTCCTCTAACGAAGCATGCAGCATCCTTAAACTCGCGTGAGAGGCAGCGGCGACCACGCCCCCGCTTATTAGCATTCGTTCGTCAGTTACGTGTTGCCCGGAGAGACGGAAAATTGAAGGGGAAAGCGGGGATTATTACTCAATCGAGAGACGAAATTACATCCCACACTTTTTGCATTCCATGTCTGGATTTTGGGATGCTGTAATCGCTCCAGAGATGTGTCACAGTAGGAAGGATATGCTTTCGACAGGTTAAGATATGAGGTAACCGAAGGAGGAGCATGCTCGTGGTTATTTATATTATTAAAATGGGTTTTCCGAGAATAAAAGTCTTTGACGGAGCAGATATGTCTTCGCTGCGTGACTTCTTTTTGGTAGAGCTATAAATAACACAACCATCTGCCGATTTACCAAGAATCATCTCATTTCATAGGCGATAAATGGGAATAATGAATAATGGAACTATCTAAGATATAGTGCGAGTTATAGGCCTCGAAGAGGGCTGTACTAGGCATGCCTTACTACATAAGTACATCCCTATATATAGATCATAGGAGGGTGTCATTCAGCCTTACAATTTCTTTTAAAAGTTATCTTTTGTTTCCCTTTTGATGATGCTGGCGCCTGTGGCACTTATCCTACCATTTTGTGCCCCTATTTTACCCCACTGTTCCATTGCCTAATTGATAATTAAGCCAGAGGGTAGGCACCCCCCCTCCTCCTCATCATCATCATCATCATCGTGTTCATCAGGGGCAAGCCCCATCATCAGTGCACCATCATCGTGAACATCAAGTGCGGCATGGCTGCTGCATCGCTCCGTCCTCTGTTCCATTGTTGATTTCGTTTCGAGTTACAGCCAGTGCCTCAAATTTCGCGACATGATTAATATCTGTGCATTAATTAGACGCCTCGCTGTCATGACTCATCCACTGGCTGGCAGTCGCCTCTAGATCCCCAACACCACCCCCCCCCCCCACACTCCCCCTTTTGCACGCCTGCTCATTAGTCTTCGGCGCAAAATTTACCCAGAAAGTTGGAAGAACAGCAAAGTTTTTCCCTTCTGACAGCTGCAGTTTTTAATGGACATTGAAGATGGAAAGGGGAAAGGGTATGGTAGAAAGAGGGGTATCGTGGGGGGGGGGATTTTTCTGAGCAAGATGAAGTGCCATATGTTTTCATTATTTGAGTATCGGGTGTAATTATAGTGCAAGGTTTCCTTTTGCACAAGGAAACAAAGGTTTTTGGGGGGTGTGGACTTCTCCTCCGGAAGAAGTGCTGGAGCGTTGACAAAGCTTCTATTTGCGGAACCGTCAAGTCTTGAAATTAAGATATTGCCTGCTC